AGATTAGGAGATACAAAAAGGTGAGAGTATTGCAGACGATGAAGAAGAGAAAATGCAAGAGAGAGGGGGGGAGAAGGAGAGAGAGAGAGAAATAGATGGAAAACAGTGAATACTAAAGCTAAACGAACCAGTTAAGTACAGTGAAGAAGAGTGGCAGATAACAGAGCAAGTCACCGTGAGGAGATTTGACATAAGTGAAATCCAGACGATGGCATAAAAATGGCTCATTTAGACGGCAAACCTTCGCACTAACCGTTCTCACTACTTGCAGACAGAAATGCGCACACGCTTATTTGTAGACACAAAGGCCTGGAGGAGCAAACAGCCAAGCTTCCATCCTACACGGAACTAGTGATAACAGGATGCAGACGTTTTCCGGGATGAATACTTCCATGTTGGCATGTGAACCAATCTCCATGCCTACACGACCAAAGCGTGTCTTTTGACTGTTAGCCAGTAGTGTCTGAAGTTGTGATTCTTCAGCGTCGACTCACATGACGCCTGACCCAAGAGGTGACGATACAGAGATCGTCTAGACACGCAGGAGGGTGTGAGTCCGGCTGGCCTCAAGACAAATTGCGTTTGCGCAGATACCAGGCAAGCAGAACGGTCCGGCATTCCCATCCACTTCCGTGGGCTCATCCAAGACAGAGACAATTTGTGGCAGGAATATGTCCAAGAGTCGGTAAGCCTGGGGCTGGCAGACGTCACAAGATGTACACCCCTTCAAAGAAAGAGTGACCCGAATAGGCATTATGTGAAATTTGGTGCATTGGGAATAGCGAGTTGGGTAAGTCGGGAGCAGCTCAAGTGTAGTACTGAAGGCTGAACTAGACAAACCTCATTGCGAAACTGGCCCAGTCTGCGAGGCAATAAACAAATACCAGAACCCGGCACTTCACCAGTCGTGGGGATCAGCAAGTTGGCAGGCCTGGTTGTTGGCTGTCTGCCTGTTTGAGCAGTCCGTAAATGCGTTTTTCTGACGGCATACCAAAAGGCCTCAACAATGGGGCTTCATACTGACTCAAGCTAAATGTACAGCACACATATTTGAGCCATACACAAGCACAACAGTGAAAGCAAATGTAATGTCACCTCATCGAAGAGGATACCTTCACTAGACAAACAAGAAAAGGCACAGAACAAGAAGGACTGTTTCGCTTACATCGTCTGAGATATCAACCAAACGAAGGGGGAAATCACTCCGCCTCTACCAATAATTCAATCTATAAATTAATCCATTCCAATGTTACGCTAAAAGAACAGAAGGTCTAAGAATGAATATAACCTTACCGGCCCGTCTATTCGTTTGCTATCCCGTCTTCCAATTTCTGTATGCATCTCAGGTGTACTCAATCAAGCCCTCCAGGATGATGGCTTGGACAGCATCAGGGATGATTTGATAAAATTTCTAGAAGCATGAGCTTGAACCCAAAAGAAGCTAAATGCAATTCCATTTGTAAGGTACAGCGTAGAATACAAATAATTCGGCCCATTATTCTGAGACTTGAGCCTCAACATCAAGTGTAAAATACACCATCTGAAAATCGCATATTCTGAGGTTAAGAGATTTTGAAGAAGTTCGGCTAGCAATTGTCACCTTTTTCGATATGTCTATGAAAAATTAAGTAGATGAGAAAAAGCGGGATCTTGAATAATCCCTAATTAATGTCATCCCACTGTATACTTAAATTTATCGGAAAGAGATACGTAACCGGAAGTAGGAATTACGACGGATTTGGATAAAAAATATCCTCAGTATATCGTCATACAGCCAAGACGAAACTGTACTCTAATGCTTGACAGGCATCTCCCAA